TCACTGCCCTCCGTGCCATGCTGGGTAACGGTGACTGACCCGTAGGGATCTGCAGGCCACACCGCGGGGCCCCCACGTGTCCCAGGCTCCCCTGCCGCACGTTTGTGACACCTGTAGATGTGAATGTCGGCTCTGTCGGGGGCTGGGCTGTGTGCTGGGCTGTGGAGGGGGCCTCGCTCTGAGAGGGGGTCGCCCCGAGGGAAAGGGAAACATCGATGTGAAGATGAGACATCGATCAGCTGCCTCCTGCACGCCCCCTGCCAGGGATGGAGCCCACAAGCTGGGCCTGGGCCCTGACGGGCATCAAACCAGCGACCTGAGTGCATGGGATGGAGCCCAACCCACTGGGCCAGGCGGCCGGGGACGGAAGCGCCTGCTTTGTCTTCTGAAACCCAGAATCTGCCCCGAGCGGCACCAGGGGTGGTGGCGGTGTGACTCTGGCAGCAACGGTGCCATGACGGCCGGGTCAGGTGCCTCACCTGCAGGCGGCCTCCCCTCCCCTCCCGGGGGCCCTGCCTCCCCCTCAGAGCCGGAGACCGGGGACCCACCGCCGGCCCTGGGGACACAGCCCAGCCCCCAGCTCAGGCCACAGCTCCTGCCTCTGAGCCAGGACATCTGTGCTCCGACCTCCACGTCAGCAGGCCCCACCCCTGGGCCGAGCCCCCCTCAGACTGTCCTGCCCACAGGCCCCTGGCGGCCAAGACCCGCCCCCTTCCCCTCTGGGGCGCAGCCTGGCCGCCCAGGGTCCCTCAGGAGGCTGGCTGAGGGCCGCCCGGCCGATGTCTGTGGGGTTTGCAACGAGAAGACAGAGGTGCCCTTTGCTTCCTCAGGTCGAGCTTCGAGGAGGCTGAAGCCCTGGTGAACGCGGGGGCCAAGGTCCCCCATCTGGTGCCCCGAGGGCTGGCCCCCGCCCAGGAGCCGCACGTGCCGGTGCCGGAGAAGCCCGCCCAGGAGCTGGAGGCCAGGGCTGTGGGCGCCGCCGCCGAGGCGATCGAAATCGTAAGTGGGGTCGAGGGGCCGAGATCCCTGGGGCTGAGGCCGGGCCAGCTGCACCCCATCGCCCAGGGGGCCAGGCTTCTGAGCTATACTCACCTGCACCCCAGAAGCCAGCCTAGGAGGCCGCCCTGTAATGCAAGACTCTCTGTTCACCCACCTGCTTTACTGCGTTCAGGGCTACCGACCTCCCACCTCGACCCCCTTAGGGCTGGGCAGCCGCGTTGGGGTTGTCCTCAGTCTCTCAGTCTGTAGCTGCTGCTCAGAGGGCGGGCAGGCAGGGCGGGTGGGGACCCTCCTGGGAGGGACCTCCTGTCCGTAGACCAGGAGTGACAGGCTTTCCCTCAGGGCAGAGGGGCCGAGCTGAGCCTCTCCCCGCCCCCACCCCTCGCACGTTTAAATGGAGCGTCCGAGGGGAATTCTATTTTCCTGCTGTCACCTCCCTCCTAGCCATCCCCTGGGGTTTAGCTGGGTTTCTGTTCGGTGTAGCAAACCGTGTGTCGCACACACCGAGTGTTTGCTGAGCACCTACTACGTGTCTGTCAGTTGGAAAATACGACTGAGCTGAGAGCCTGGGTGTGACTGGGGCTGAGGCCTTTCTGATCGGCCGGGAGATGCGTTTCCCGCGTGAAGTCATCTTTCCGTCGCTTAGAAAATGATCTTTCCCCAAACCTCCCGTCCTCTGATACTCACACGGAGGGGCTTCCTCCGTGACGGACGCTTGGAAAACCCATCACCTGGCTTGTCTCCCGCCCACCGAGCTTTTCAAATAAGAAACGGTTACTCCCTCCCAGGGCCCAGTTAGGGAA